AAGTGTGAAAAATCGGGACGGGGTGGGGGGTTAATAGGAGCCTATATAAGAAAAAGACCCAAAAATCGGGACTGTCCCTATAAAATCAGGACATCTGGTCACCCTAGATACATCAATGATATTTTCATCATCTGGACACATGACTTAAACTCCTTCCTAGATTTCCAGCACAACTTCAACCACCACCACCCATCCATCAAACACTCTCTAGAACACTTCCCTACTAGCATTAACTTCCTGGACACCGCAATCCGCTTCAGCAATGGAACTCTACAGACAACTACATACAAGAAACCCACTCATCGCCTCCCCTACCTACACAGATCCAGTAACCACTCCAAACACACCAAGAAATCTGTTCTCTACAGCCAGCACTCAGATACTTTGCACTTGTCTTTATTTATTTAAATTCATCTTGTTAAACTTAGACTAATTCTCCAGTTTGTCACGGTCCTTTTGAATTCTAAGGCTGTCCTCCAAAGTGTTTGCAACACCTCCCAGCTTGGTGTCATCTGCAGATTTTACAAGCATGTTCGCCACTCCATTATTCAAGTCATTAATGACCATATAGAATAGTACTGGACCCAGGACTGACCCCTGTGGGATCTCACTAGGTACGCCCACCCAGTTTGACAGTGAAGGATTGAGGGCTACTCTTTGACTACAGTCTTTCAACCAGTTGTGCACCCACCTTATAGTAATTTCATCTAGACTGCGTTTTCCTAGTTTGCTTGTGAGACTGTCAGGAGAGACTTTCAAAAGCCTTACTAAAAATCAAGATCTATCATGTCTACTGCTCCCCCCACCCTCCCCATCCACTAGGACAGTAACCCTGTGCAAGAAGAAAATTAGGCTGGTTTGGCATGGTTTTTTTTTCTTCTCAAATCCGTGATGGCTATTCCTTATAACCCTATATCATCCTCTAGGTGATTACAAATTGATTGTAAGCACCCATCTCCCTTCCCTACCCTGCGTCCCCCCTTCCTATCAGTGCTGTTGAGAAGCTGTAGGTGACTACTGTGAATTAGATCCCTTGAATCTCAAACAGGTTTCACTGCCTTGATCCTTTTTGTTTTCGATTTATAGACCAGGACTGCCCCCTCCCCCTCCCCAAGCTCTAGGTGCATGTTGAGGGCCTTCTACCTAGAATGAACAGCAGACAACACCCAGGCATAGAAATCTTGACACTCTCCGCTCTGGAGCATCAGCTGATCTTGCAGTGAGACCGTGATACTGGCCTCCAACCATAAAGGACTTTTATGGATTAAAACAAGCAAGTAGAATTGCACCTAGAAACGGATGGGCATGTTACATGCTCACTGTGACATCTGAATGCTTTTAAAAAACAATCTGAATCCAGATGAGTGGTTGCCACTCAGCCCTGAGTTCTCTTTCCAGCAGCTGATGGGAAGCTGTACAAAATCCTATCGTTCTTACCCTGCCATTCTTATTTTGCCCACTACAGGCAGAGTCGTATATGTTCTCTGTCTTGCATTTTGGCTCATACTGTATTCTTCGAGCAGTCAAGCCATTCTATGCGCTAGGAAAAATCTGATGTGGCATTCTCGAGTGCAAGGTATATCCAACGTTCAGGAGTCCTTACTCTATTAAGTCATCTAACTCTGGTCAGGGAAGGACTCGGAGATGACATGGTAGTAAAAATACGTGAGCTCTGTTTATGCTCTAGCTCAGTGGTTCTCAGCCAGGGGTTCACATACCCCTGGGGGTATGCAGAGGTCTTCCAGGGGGTACATCAACTCATCTAAATCAGTGTTACTCAACACGAGGGCTGCAGCCCCAGGGGAGTCACAGGACAGGTTTAGGGGGATTGCGAGTGCAGGGTCAGCATTAGAGATTGGCAAGCAGGACAATGCTTGGGGCCCCAAGCCAACGGGGGCCCCACAAAAATAAGTTACATGCTTCAGCCCTGTCCCCTGGGGCTCGGCTTTCAGACAAGGCTCACAAGTGAAAAACAGGCTGAAGTACAATATTTATATTCCAATTGATTGATTTGATAATTATATGGTAAAAATGAGAAAGTCAGCCATTTTTCAGTAATAGTGTGGCTATGACACTTTTGTATTTTTTATGTCTGATTGTGTAAGCAACTAGTTTTTAAATGAGGTGAAACTTGGGGTACGCAAGACAAATCAGACTGCTGAAAGGGGCACAGGAGTCTGGAAAAGTTGAGAACCAGGTTTAGCTACACTATTGCTAGCACTGGTGGAGAATTACAGGTCAAATGTGTTAGTCTCTAAGGTGCCACAAGTCCTCCTGTTCTTTCTGCGGATACAGACGAACACGGCTGCTACTCCGAAAAGAGGAACTTGGGATCCAATTGAAACTGCAAGCGCAATTTGAGATCAGCAAAGTGGACAAAATTTTCCAAAGCACTGACGTGAGTTCAACTGAAAGTGAGGGGGATTTAGGCACTTCTGAAAATGGTTTTCCAATGTGTTTACAGGGGGCTGGATCCTTACACTGATTGACACCGGCTAACTCCATTGAAGTCAGTGGATCTCTGCTAACTAGCGGCCGTCAGCAGCCGAGGAGCTGGTTCCATACATGTATAAGGTCCTTTGTCAGGTTTTTTCTGGGATTTTAAGGTGTCTGTTGGGGTGATTACCAAGCACTACCACAGAGCAGTACTAATTGGATGAATGCATTGATGGGAGCAATTGCAGGGTATTCTCCCTTGGAAAGCGCATTGCGTTGGTCCCCTCTGGATGGAGGAGGAGGACACGTGAAAGCGGAGGTGATTTTCCTGAAGTCTCTCAGACAAAGGCAGCACTTACGCTACATTCCAACAAGTGAACTGCAGCCCCCGGACTGCAGAACCGGATGCATCATGCCATGTACGCCCGAGCCAAGCTACCTTTCCTTTACAATAAGAAAGTGGTGGGGGTGAGGAGAGAGGCAGTCTGTGCTCAGTAAGGCTGAACCGCTGCTGCTCAGGGCAGGAAAAAAGGGTTTCTAGTTCTTGGTGGCTGCTCTCTTCTAGCCTGCTAAGGGAAGCTGGAGCTGGCTGGGTTATTGCTGGCAGACGAGGCCTCAGAAACCTTCGCTGTTGTACCTGGAGAGGAATGTTGGCTTATTGACTAGGGCTTTATGGCATGATCCGATTCAGCATGCTTTGTGCATGCTGCTGGCTGTGATGGGAGCCGCTGGGGACTGTTCCTATGTGTGCTTTCGTGGGTTTGCCAGCCAGGAAGGCGCAGGCTGCCGTCAAAGGTTTGGTAAAAGGGCCCGGCATTAGCAGGAACCATCCCCATCTGCTCGGCTGCTGCTATTACTCACCTCTGCCTTTACCAGAATAGCTGGTTGAATTCCAGTGCGGTAAACAAACTGAGCATAGTAAACAGTGACTCATGCTGCAGAGCTAAAATAAGAGCGGATGTTTTTAACACTGTTTTTTTTTTTTCCACCTTGGCATTTCCAGCGTGGAACTCTCCTGTCCCAGAAAGTTTGCTGAGGGATTCCTCATTTCCCGCTCTGGGTGACCCTCTGACTCCCCCATTCTCACTCTCCACACAACTGTTGACCCACAGCTGCAAAGCGTGAGAAGGACCAAGCGTGTGGGCCTGGCACTCAGGTGTGAAATAGCTCACTGGGGTTTTCACACCTCGTCCCATCTGATCTGTGCACAAAAAGCTGGGATCAGCAGTGTCTGATTTGCCCTGTTCTCCAACCGGACCTGCCCAGCTTTCCGCAGTGACGGTAGCGCTTTGCTCTTCGCAAGTGCTTTCCACCCCCTCTGGATACTCACACCAGCTGAGATCACTGCAGCCAGGGACGGGGGTGAAGTTAGTAGCCTGATTTTTTTTTTTTTTCCCCAGAGGTGCTGGGTGCCGTTGGCTCCTACTGCTGTCAATGGGAGCGCGGGGGCTCCGCACCTTTGAAAATCAGCCCACCCGTGGCTTACCCAAGCCATGCACAGTGACTCTGTGGCAGAGATGTAGGACTCTTGGCTGCCAGGCTTATGTCTCCTTCACTCGTCTGGAGAACCACCCGAGTCAGGGGCTAGTATTATCTCGGTACGTACATGGACAGCGCAGTCTAGCAGTTAGAGCGGGGCCCTGAAAATCAAGACCACTGGAGTCTGATTTCTGCCACTGACTTCCCGACTGACCTTGGCCAGGGCCGTTGCTCTGGGTGGCAGGATTCAGTTACTGCAGGTTTGGGAAGTGCTATGAGATCCTAAAGAAGGGCAGAAAGTCGCTCTCCGGCTCAGCACTTGGTGGTCTCCTGTTGCTACACGAGCAGCAGTAAGAAAGCCCTTAAGAAGAACCAGACGTATGGTATTTTCACAGTCCAGAAAGGCGCCCACCATCCCCCGCGGGGTAGTGTCGTTAGCAGGAAAAGCAAGCTCGAAGCTCAGCCATTGCTAGTCACTGTGTGCCCTCCCGATGGCACTCCGATCTCTTCCCTTCCCTGCGAGCTGAGACGCTGGCGCCCTGCGTGCAGCTGCCTCTGTCACTTTCCCTGCCGGAAGCAAAGGTCGGATGGCAACTCGTGTGTTTTCTTTACCCAGACCTCCCTCCCCGTTGCTCCTTTATTATTTCAGATGGGCTCGACGGAGACTTCCACCCCCGTGATGATGGGCCAGGGGAAGCCGAAGTGAAACATATCCCCTTAGAGTTTTGCTAAGGCCCCAGTTCAGCAGGTGAGTGGTCCCATTGGCCTCAATGGGGCTAATCGTCTCCTTAAAGCTATGCACATGGATAAGTCCCAGGCTGAATTGGGGCCTGATTCTCCAGAAGGACCCATGGATCCGTGTAGGGGTTGCCTACTGACATGGGAGGTCGTCTTTGATCATTCAGTGCTGAGAGTTTGAACCATCTCCAGCCCTTTCGGGCCTTGTGCATGCTGGGAACAAAATCATTGTCGCTACGATGGTGTCTGAGCAGGGTTGGAACTAGCAGAGTTCTGGCTCGTTTCCTTGAGCAGTGCTGGCTGGGCGTTTATCTGCCAGCGGTGGTGCTGATGGTGGCGTGGGCGTAGCATGGTTCTCAGAAGATACCCCTGCCCTCAGTCGTCGGGGAAAGCAGACCCAGCTTTGCTACCAACACTGGCCTTGTCTGCTGTAAAGCTCCCACCAGTGCTAGCACCGTCCTGCTGGGGCCAGCACTACGTCTGTGACTGTCAATGGAACTCACTGGAGCAGGGTTAAAGCAGGGCTTGGGCCTGTCCACCGTGCAAGACCCAGCTGTGTTGAGACACTTCTTTGTTCTAACTAGGTCCCCTACCATGAAGCTGTTCCAATGTAAATGGGACCTATGTAGTCTTCCAGTTACAGAGATCCTTCGGGCCGGGAAGAAGCGGAGACTTGTGTACGACAGGTGCCACAGATAACTAGGCAAAGTGGAAGCGAAGTGTCCTGTAGGATAATCCCAAGTGTGAGAAGGGTTCAGAGGCAGCCTCACCCCAGTCACAGCAAGGGCAGTGTGAGCTGTCGCGCTCGGGTCAGTGAGAGAGACATGAAGTGAGCAAGGGGGATGATACAATGCACTCAATAAATGCACCAGGGAGAAGGCTGGACAGATACGGTGGGAAGAGAACAGGGAGATGGAAATAACTGAACAGGGGCCAGACCTGTAATCATCACTGTTAGCGATTTGCACCCGAGTGGCACCTAAAGGCCCCAGCCACGTTGTGCTAGGTGCTGTACAGACATAGAGCAAAGAGACGAGCCCTGATCTCCTGCTCCCAGGCTGCGTCTACACTATAGCTATGCACCATGCCAGCATAGCCCGCTCGCGTAGGTGCAGCCTATGCCAACTGGAGCGTTTCTGAGACCGCTTCCCAGAAGGGCTTTAGCTATGCGGAGGGCAGCCCTCTTCTGTTGACCGAGCTACATCGACACTGGGGTTGTGTTGGCATAGCGACGTCAGCCAGGCGTGGCTTTTTCACAACTGTGACCGAGGTAGCTATGCCGACAGAACTTTCAAGTGTAGACCAGGCCTAAATATATGCAAAAGACAACAGGTGACGGCAGCGAACAGGCAGGAGGAGCACAAGATAACAATGAGATGATGCTCTGGTACTGGGCCGATGCTGGCTCCAGGCGGTGCCTCTGGCCAGGCAAGGGGGAGCTGGGCTGATCCGTGTTCCTGGCATTGGCCCTTCCGGCAGCGTGGGGCTGATGACAAGGCAGGAAGGAACTGATTCTGCTGGAGAAAGGTGATTGTTGAGCACTGGACTCTGTTTCATCTGTGGTATAAACAAACCAGTCTGGGCTGTAGCCCCAGGTGGATTTCCCTTTCCACTTTCCTTCAAGTCACCCTTCCTTTTGGCGCCATCGCTTCCGGCAATCACGCTTCTCGGAAGCTGGGGGCTGCAGTCACTCACCGCCGGCTGGAGTCGCACCACGTATCGACCTGCTGCAACAGCGTGCCCACTCGGTAGGTGTTGCCAGTGGCCTGCTGAGTCCAGGACAGTGTATGAGCAGGAGCCAATCCCTAAAAAGTGTGTAAGTGTAAAAACACTGTTGCAACTTCTGTTATAAACCAACCCCAGCTTTCATTGTAAAGAGCCAAGCTGCAGCCCTGAGAAGGACAGGAGCGAAACGCATCCCCTGGGAGGGAGGGTGAGCTGTGGGGGGGGGTGATATCGTTCCTCGGGCTCGGTGCCTAATCGCACTTTTCCATCTCTCGCGTCTCTGCTCCTGCCTCGCAAAACGGGGCTGGAGCGTGAAGAACTGAGACTGGTTTCAAGTCTGAATAAGCTGAGAGCAGACGGAACAAGCTGCCCTGTGTCTGCTTCAGCTCCGCCTGCAGCCCCCGCCGGCTGCCCTGAGAAGTGGGCAGCGTGTGGTTTACAGATCTGGTCAGTCTCCCTGCCTCGGTGCTGGGGGCTGTGGGGGGGCCTTTCCCTGCAGAATGAACAGCCCTCAGGCAGGTCAAAGGGCAGATGTAAAAATAACCCCTGGCGCTCACTCCACCTTCCTGCAATTTATAAACTCCCCAGGAAAGACTAAGGGCAGGAACCTTCCACTGGCTGGGGAGTGTTTGGCCAGGAAATGCACCAGCAGGACTTGTGCTATCCCTCTGCTGGTTCAGAATCTCGTGTCTAGAACCGTTGTAGGGACAGCTGGACATGTCCCTGCTCAGGGACAGTGAGAGGGGAAGTAACGGAGGTTAGCGCTCAGGATCAGGGCTTGTGGGGGTTCATGGGCCTAATTCCCCTCTGGTGTTGCTTCACTGTAACGTGTGTTGGGGATGGATCTGGGCCAGGGAGTAAAGGCAGCAGATACAGAGAAGTTCCGGGAACTCCCCCTGCTATCCTCCTTGCGGTCCCTGCCAGTCCCAAGGTCCTGTCAGACACAGCTGGGTGTCAGCCCATCAGCGCTCAGCAGGGCTCCCCGGGGAAGGTGAGTTCCTGCTGCCAGGCTGGACCCCAGCCTCTGAGTAATGAGGTGTAAAATGCGAAACAGCTGGGGCCCTGTATCACTTTGTCTCCTTCCAGACACAGGGCTGGCAGGGAGAGGGCCGAGAGAGAAGCGGCTGTTTGCTGCAAGGGGCTGAGGGTTATCTCCCAGCACAGACCGCGACACCCACTCCATTATGCATCCGAAGAAGTGGGCTATAGTCCACGAAAGCTTATGCTCTAATAAATTTGTTAGTCTCTAAGGTGCCACAAGTCCTCCTGTTCTTCTTTTTGCCACTCCATTGGTGCAACCTCCCCCACCTCCACTGCCCCAAATGGCAGATCAAGCTGTGAAAGCACAGAGAAACTGAGCAGGGAGAATGGGGTGAGGGTGGAGCTTGGTCTACGGGGGAGGGAGGAGAATGGGACATCGACTCCAGGATTTAGGCCCAGGTCCTCGCTTCCTTTGTTGTGATGGGAATTAGGTGCTGAAAAACCTTGGTGATTTGGGGGTTAATGACAGCAGGGCTTGTTTGGAACAGCTGAGGGAATTGGGTGGGTAAAATCCAGCCCTGAGCACTGTTTAAACAGCGATGGCCCCCGTGCGGTATTTGGATGTGACCATTGGTGGTAGAGTCGCACGCACAGGCCGCAGCTCAGATTAGTAGTATTGGTGGCTTGTCATACATTGTGCTCGGTGCTGCACATATGCCTGGGGAGAGTCCTGCCCTGAATGGCGCAGTCGACATGGACAAGATAGGAAGGATCCTTGCCCCCATTTTATAGATGGGGGAAAATGAGGCTCAGAGAGGTGACGTGACTTACCCAGGCTCACTCAGGCATCTGTGGTAGAGCCCGCCACAGAACGCAGCTCTTCTGTGTCCCAGTCCATAAGACCAGCCTTCCTCTGCAGCCACTTAAAAGGCCAGAGATTTCCTGTGAATGTCTGAGTCAGACAGCCTGTGCCGCTCGGGCAGCACGCAAACAGGGCAAAGTCAGGGCCCCAATTGAAACCTGCCAGGAGATCAACTGCGGCCACAAATGGATTCTTCCTGGCTATGTGTGCATGCAGCCCCCTCCAGTATGCTAGAGACAGAGATGGGGGGTCAGCAGCAGGGGAGTGGAGGGTCTTTCTCATCAGGAAAGAAGAGGGTGAGGTATGGATGGTAAAGCAGAGAGGAGGAAGGTAGGCAGAGTTAGCACCGGGGTGTCATTTCAGAAAAAAGTCGGGGAGGGAGGGAAGTCATGTCGTTATATGTAATTGTCTATTTCCTGCAAAGCCTACGGGGTTGAGTGGAAGACACAGTTGAGCATATAGACCAATGAAAAGTCTGGGGGCTGGGTGGGAACCAACTGCCCCCTTGCCCCATAGCAAATGCCTCTGGTTAGGAGGGGGCAGATTGTGTGTAACAGAGCATAAGGCAGATGTAGTGCACTAGGCCTGGCAGGACAGGGGTCAATGCTGGGTGTGAGCAGGAGGGCAGGGGTTAACGCAGGCTGCGTGGGGTCAGGAGGGAAGGGGGTCAGAAGGGAAGATGTTAATGCAGGCTGGGGGGGACAGAAGGGGTTAATGGGCTGGGGGTGAGTGGGAGGGAAGAGGTTAATGCAGGCTGGCAGGGAGGGAAAGGGTTAATGGGCTGGGGCGAGCAGGAGGGAAGGGGTTAACGGGCTGGGGGCGAGCGGGAGGGAAGGGGTTAATGCAGGCTGGGTGGGGTCAGGAGGGAAGGGGTTAATGCAGGCTGGCGGGGGGCGAGCGGGAGGGCAGGGGTTAATGCAGGCTGGGGGTGAGCAGGAGGGAAGGGGTTAATGCAGGCTGGCGGGGGGCGAGTGGGAGGGCAGGGGTTAATGCAGGCTGGGGGAGGGCAGGGGTTAATGCAGGCTGGCGGGGGTGAGCGGGAGGGCAGGGGTTAATGCAGGCTGGGTGTGAGCAGGAGGGAAGGGGTTAACGGGCTGGGGGCGAGTGGGAGGGAAGGGGTTAATGCTGGGGGTGAGTGGGAGGGAAGGGGTTAATGCAGGCTGGGGGTAGAAGGCAGGCATTAATGCAGGCTGGCGGGGGGGGCGAGCGGGAGGGCAGGGGTTAATGCTGGGGGTGAGCGGGAGGGATGGGGTTAATGCAGGCTAGGGGTAGAAGGCAGGCATTAATGCAGGCTGGCGGGGGGCGAGCGGGAGGGAAGGGGTTAATGCAGGCTGGGGGCGAGCGGGAGGGACGGGGTTAATGCAGGCTGGGGGTGAGTGGGAGGGAAGGGGTTAACGCACAGGGAGGGGCTGGCTCTCCCCTGACCGTGAATATCCACCAGCCGCTGCCTGCCCTGGCGGAGCTCAGTTCCCTGGGAGCTCTTGGCAGGGCAGGACCAGCTGGTGCTTGACTGGAGATGCCTTAGCCGGGCTTGGTGAGTGCCCCTCCGCCCTGCCGCCCTGTGCTGGAGCCCCTGTCCCCCGCCCTGCCCTAGAGCCCCACTGCGCAGCTCAGCAGAATTCCTGCTGCAAGGCTGGGGGGGTCCCAGGGCCGGCGTTACGGGGTAGCAAGCAGGGCAGTTTCCTGGGGCCCGTGAAGCTAAGTTGCTTTAGCCCCTCATGGCGGGGCTCGGGCTTCGGCTTTCTGCCCTGGGCTCCCGCCAGTCTAACACCGGCCCTGGGAGGTACTAAGGGGGGATGCGTGGCAGTGCCAGGCTCTGGGCAGGGCGTAGTGTCTTGTCCCTTGGGGCAGGCCATGCCCTGCTGTGGGCTCCCATGGGAGCCCTGTTTGCTCTGTTCAGCCCTGGCAAGCAGGTGCCACCTTTGGGCATCCAGCTCTTGGCCTCAGTGGCTTTCCAGAGGGAGGCTGGAGGCCTGTGCTGAGATCTGGCTGCCCCGTGTTTGAGCTGTCTCTGCAGGGCACGTGCCAGGGAGGCGGGCGAGTGTCTGCCCTGGAACCGCTTATTTATAGCGCTATGTTTGGGAGGCAGAAGTTCAGCTCTTTGGGCTTTTTATAGCAGGTTTTGTTGTTTTTTTTTTCCCCTTCCTTGCATCCTAGTGGCCCTGGGATAACACGGGATGGGATCTAAGCTCCCAGCTGGAGAAATTTTGGTCTAGCTTCAGTGCTGTGTTAGGATCCACAGGGGAGAGCCCCCGGGGGGAGCCTTCCAGCAGCCTTTACAGCCAGTCTCCCCTTAGTGAGCAGTGCATGGGGTGATCTTTTCAGGTGCATGTTTTCCCCTCTGGTGTCTGGCAATGAGGCATCTCATGCCCTGGCTGCTGCTGTCCCAACTCGTGTGGCATGCGTGTGTATGGTTTTCAAGTGCTCAGCCCCTGTTTATGGCCAGTTTTTCAAGGGCATTCAGCCATCAACAAGCTGAGCTCTGCTGAAAATCTGGTCTTTGGTGTCCTGGCCATATTCTAACTCTGGAACGCTCTCTCTGCCCTGGCAGTTTCACCGGCGCACCATTCTTCTTTTCCTACACCAGCCGTTGGTGTAGTGTTGCTGTGTGCTGTTCAAGACTTGCTGTGTTCCACCCCATAGGTGGGTGCAGTGATCCTTACCTGTCTTTACATACAGGACTGTTGTGTGGCTTAATTCATGTGCGTAAAATGCTTTAAGGATACCCACAAGGTGCTGTACCCAAGACAAGTGTTGTAGTGGTAGGAACAATCACGTTTTGACTCATATCTGCTGTGGAGCGTCTATCTAGAGTATACTGGGGAGAGCTGGTAGAAAACTTTCCTGGCAAAATATGGAGTTGCACTGAAATCAAATTTCCCTGGGGGAAAAAAACTGTTATTTATTTGTCTTGCGATAGCATGTGAGAGGCTCAGTCAATGCACCAGGGCCCTTTGTGCTAGGGGCTGTACAAACATAGGACAAGGAGACACTCCCTGCCCCCAAAATCTAAGTATATGACCAGAGACGACAGATGGATGCAGGCAGCTAGAGCGGCACCAGGGAACCAAAAATGTGGATTTTTTGTTTTGTTTTTTTAATTGGGAAAACGCGAAAGGAAACGGTTTGACCGAGTGTTTCACTCTGATAGAACACGTTTCCTCTCCCAATTTCTCAACTTTCCAACTTTTTGCTTCATGAAAATTCTCACCGTTTTGACTTTTCCTCCTCCTTTGGGATGAAAGCAAATGTGGAAAGAGGGATTTCCTGCAGGCTGGAAATTCGATTTCCCCAGTGGCTCTAATAACCGCTCCGGAGCTGGTCTGTTAGCTCCCCTGCTGACTTGATCTCTGCCCTAGAGCTGGAGTTGAAATTCCTGCGCTCAGGACTGATCAAGGCAGTGAACCTTTCCATCAGAAATGCCCCTTGGGAATCTGTGCCTTTATATTATGCAACCCCTCTTTGTGTGACCGAACTGGGTATGCCAGACCCTGGGCAGACTCTCCCTGGGTGGCATGAAGTCTCCATGTGAAAGTCTTACTGATCTCCAGCATGTGGGGTCTTTACCGTGACCGTGCAGGTCAGAGGTGTGTGGTGGGATTAAATGGCAGGAAAGGCGGAAGGAACCAGGGCTTAGCTGGTGGAGGGTTTGGGTGGGTGGATGCTGATCCCTTCCTTTCGAACACCACAGTATCAAACTCCAGCTGTTGCCTCTTTCTCAGGCCAGACTCTTGCTTCTCGTCTCAGAGGTCTCTGTTAGTTTGGCTCCAGGGAGATCTGGCTCTGCCATAGACTTCCTGCGGGATCTCGGGCAACGTGCTTAACTGCTTCATACCTCAGTTTCCCTGCCTGTAAAATGGGAATGAGACCGACGGGCCTCCGGGGGATGTTGAAAAGTTTTATTTTGTTCTCATTTGTCATGTGCTTGGAGATCCTCGGCTGAGAAGGGCTAAGTGTTCATGTGACAAGTTAGCTGGGGGTTTGTCCTGAGTGTTCCCTGGCAGGCTGGAGGGGAATTGTGAGGGGAGGGAATTCAGCTCCGAGTGTAGACGGGCTTGTCTCCAGCAATGGGCAGAGAATGGTGACTGCCTGGGGTAGGCAGGCTGGTTAACCATTCGCTTCCAATCAGTCACTGCTGGACTGAGAGGCTCTTCAGCGCCATTTGTGTCTCTTCTGTTAAAGGAAACCATCTGCTTGGGGCATTTACAGCTTCTGCATCTGACTCCAGGCCCCCTGCACTAGCTGCTGTCAACTTCAGCACCAGATTTACTGCCCTGGTCCCACCCTGGCCCCTCATTCGCCAGCCCCTTAGGCTCAGACGCTGCTTTGTTCTAGTCCTTCCCTGGATGGATGGTCAGTCGGGAGGTGAATAAAGGCTCTCTGGTGGTCACGATGCCAGCAGTGACCTCTGGCTGATCATTTAGGGTCTCCTATGAATTAGGAATTAGTCATGGGGCAAAACCGGGGGGGGGGGGATTTTGCCCTTTCTAAGCCTTGTTGGTCGCTGGCTTGTTCGGTGTGAATGAGAGGTGGTTGGGAGCTGAGCCAGCAAAGTTTAATGGTTCTGGGATTGGCCCACCTGTTCCGGGATGAGGCTCTTTGGTTCTGGGACCCTTTATCCTGGGCAACTAGACAGGTGCTTGTTTATATGACAGTAGCACCTGGAGGCTTTGCACACACATCCAGTCAGAGCCAACTCCTGCCCAAAAGAGCTGACAAGCTAAACAGTCGAGCCACGTGGGGAAACTGAGGCACAGAGACAAAGGGGGAAGTGACATACCTAAGGTTACCCAGCAGGTGAGAGCTGGGAGTAGAACCCGTGTCTCCTGACTCCCGGTCCAGTGCTCGAGCCGCTGGGCCATGCTGCCTCCCTGGGGACTCTAGCCCTCAGCAGCCACTGTGGAGTCAGTGTGTCAGTTGGCTGAGACTTTGACAGATTTAAAAAAAGCCTTTTTCTTGTTTTCCTTTCTGAAAAGGGAAACCCAGAAGGGAGCCCGTCCCAACCCGGGGCCGCTCAGACGCTGTGATTATTCTGAGCCACACGGAAGGCGAGTGGAGCCAGAAACGCCCTTGTGGCTTTTCCACCTCCTGCCGTCTGGTTCCTCCCCTCCCAGTTGCTCCAACCTGGCTCCTCCGTTGCTCCCGAAGGTAGCACCGGCGGTGCTGGGGGCTGCCGGGAAGCATGGGTGGCTCTGCGGCACTTGATGGCCGGATTGTCTTTGTTCTGCTACCGTTGGGCACATAAAGATAAGGCGGCTGGCTCCGGTATTTTTTCCTGTTTAAGTTGCTCTTGGAAGCTCTGCAATAACCCAGGCGACTTCACAAGCTGTTCAGTGCTTTCCTCTTCCTGTAGTGATTAGTCCCACCTAGAGGCCTGCTGCTGTCTAGAAAAAGGCCCGTCTCCCGTCCTCTCCCAGTCTCTTTGCTGTGCATCTGAGCCAGCCAGGTGCCCTCCTTGGCTCCTACTCGTCCTGAAGCGCGGTGGTATCCCAGCAGAGATCAATCAGCCCGCCACGCCTCCTCTCTGCTGCTATGATTCAGAGGATCAGGGGCTGTCACGGTGGGGCGAGGGGGAACTCGCACCCACCTGAAAAATCACTGTGCCCCTCAGCAGCCCGCACGACGTGTCTAGAGGTGGCATCAAAACCCTCCCTGAAACTGCAGCCCCGGCCGGCTGCCCCATTCCTCCAAGGTGCCCCCCTCCCTCTCGTCAGAGTCTCCTTTGCGGAGCAGCCCTATGCGGTAGTTAGGTTTCCTCCTGGCGCCTTGAACGCAGCCACGGGGGCGGGTGGTTCACAAGGGCATCTAGCCCGGCCCCTTTACGGGGCAAGAAAATCAAGCTCCTTCCCTGCTCCCGACTGCCCTCTCTCCTCAGCTCTGGGTTGCCCCTTCGCCAATGCATTCTCCTCCTCTTCCTCTCCTCCATTCTCCTACCCCCATTGTCTTGGGCTCTGGACTGTCTGGGTGCCCATCTCTGCCATGGTGAGGGGGAGAGGCTCAGACCAGAACCCTCATCTACCCCCAATGTGGGGGCGGGGAGGGAGTCCCATCAGACCAGAACCCTCATCTACCCCCAATGTGGGGGCGGGGAGTGTGTCCCATTTTGTGGGGGAGGTGGGGACTGAACTGACTCCTCCCCCCCCCCCGGGGCTCTTGTCTTCCTCTCGCTCCTGAATCCTTGATCTTTCTCCCATAGAGTGATACAGCAGGCAGCAGCTCTGGGCTGCCCCATCCCCTGCTGCCATATCCAGGCTCTCTGTGGCTGCGGGGCCTCGTCCGAAGGGTCTTCCTTTGCTCCAGCTCTGGCTGATGCAGCTGAGTTGGACACACTGCTGCCCGCTGGGGAGAAGATGGTGCTGGGTACAGGCCCCTCCTGACTGCATCCTCCACAGGCAGGCAGAGTGGAGCGGGGGCGGTCTGTAGCCTGGGTGCCATATTACACTGGTGGGGGGGGCAGGGCACCTCTCTGTGCACACAGTGCCAGGGAGGGGGAGATGGGGTGTGTGTGTGTGTGTGTGTGTGTGTGAATGACCCAGCTGGAGGGTGGCTTCCACTTGAGATGATGGTTCCCACTCAAAATGGTCCATCTGGGGGACGCTTGGGTGCTACATTATCTGCGTCCCCGTTCCCCCACAAACAGAACTCCTCCTGCGGTGGGACCAGGTCCTGCTCCAGCCTGTGGATGGTTGGCAGCTGCCCGTTACCCATGCAGGGCCCTTTGCCGGTGGTGGTGGCAACAACTTTCCTATGACTAACCACTTCCCTCCTCTCCTTCCAGGAGCTGAGTGCACCTTCCCCACGGCCACTGAGGACTGGCTCCTTGCGGATACGGAAGCTGGTGCCAGAGAGCCCCTCTTGCTGTCCTGTCTGGATACAGGTTCCGGCTTCTGGGTGAAGAACCGCGTCGGTGTCCTGTGGCCCACTCGAAGGACTGGCTTTAGAACAGTGTGGATTTGGGGTTCGGGGCTTTCGCGCTATGGTTCCCCTGAGGGGCCTCCCATTGCAGGTCGCTGTGCCCTGTTCCTGAGAGCCGAGGTGCAAGTGCACGAGACCATGAGGCCTGTGTCTCCTGCAAGTAGCACATCCCCCCTGCGGCTGCTGAACCGGGGCCCGGAGTATCTCCGCCGGCAGATGGAGGTGGGGAGCGGGGGCCGCACCCCGAGTGCCGTGGAGAGGCTGGAAGCCGACAAAGCCAAGTACGTCAAAACCCAGCAAGTGATCAACAGCCGGCAGGAGCCGGTGCTGCGTAGCTGCCCCCCGTGGCCTTCCCCTCGCAGCAGGAGGCGCCTGACTCTCCACCAGTGTCACGAGATCTGTCAGAGCTCAGAGCTGGGCCGAGACAGCCCCAAGCAGAACGGCCCCAGGAAGCTGCTGCCTTCCCCCCAGTCCCCCGTGGCGCGCAGGGGCAGCAGCAAACGCCTGCTGAGGCCCGACTCCCTCATCATCTACCGGCAGAAACGGGACTGCACGGCCATCAACAAGGAGAATGCCAAGGGCTCCGGCCTGGTCAGGCGGCTCTTCCAGGGGCCTCTGAGAGACAAACTCCCCAGCTCCCCCTCCTCCAGGGGCCTGGGCGACAGGCGGCAGGGGCCGGAGAGAGACGAGACCCCCATGGTGTGGGTGCCGGTGGAGAAGGAGGCTGCTAGAACGCAGAGCCCAGGGGGCGGCATCTTCAGCCCGAACGCGAGCCCTGTGGCGCAGCCTCCACACAGCAGCCAGTCGGGGCCAGGCCCGAAGGAGGCCAAGAGGGAGCTGGCCCGAGGCTGCTCCCTGCCCCTCTCAGAGAAGGAGAGGTTTTTCAACTACTGCGGCTTGGACCGGGACCTGGTGGAGGTGCTGGGCAGGGAGAGGTTCGGGCCTGCTGGCTGGGACGCGGCCTCCTCCTTGCTCCTGGGGAGCGCGGGCTCGGCCGGCTCGGAGCGCAGCGAGCCGGCCCACTCCAGCGGCTGTGAAGCGGGGCCTGACGCAGAGGAGCTGGGTGCACGGCGCTGCTCGACCGTCTCCATTATCGAGCGCAACGCCCGGGTGATCAAGTGGCTCTACGGCTGCCAGAGAGCCTGGGCGATGTCCAGGGAGTCCACGGTCTGAGGGAAGGGTCCTTTAGAGACCCCGTCCCGTCTCAAGGGCTGGGGGCAGGCGATCTCCACTCCACCTCAGGACACGTCCCGGCACTGGTCACGCCCTCCAGTCCTGCCTCCAGCGAAGGCAATGGCAACCCCCCTGTTGCTCTCAGCGTGGGCAGGAGGCAGCCTGGGGCATGAACCAGGCAGATCGTTCGGCTCTTGACTGAACCAGACGCTTGTGGGGGTGAAGATGCCCGGAGCTGGCACTTCCCATGCTCCTGCCCTGTGTGTGCAGCTACCCACAAGCGCTTTTCTGCACTGGGGCTGCCAACTGGGGACTGTCATGTAAATGGGGGGGCCCAGGTGCTTCCAGCAATGCATGGCCTAATCCTGCTGAGCGGTGGAGGGGGTGCGGGTGACATTCACCTCTCAGGGCCAGTGTGCTCAACAGAGACTTTCCTCTTCTGAATGATATTTTAAAATGTGCCCAGGGAAGGAATTGTGCTGGGGGAGGGGGCTTGGAGCAGCTCCCCCTCGGGACTGGTGCTGGCACCTGAGCGTGGGAGCAATGGGACTGGAAGGGGAGACAAACTGGCCACTCCCTGCGTCCCCCTTGACTGGCCCTTTAACCCTTCCTCTGCTGCTAGGCTCTCGGGCTGGCCCCTTCACCGATGCAGCCAGCTCTGCAGAAGATGAGATCGTAAGGGCAGAAATGGACCCTCTGGCTGTGTGGGCTCCTCCCTTGCTGAGCAATCCAGGAATGGCCGGAGGCGCTGGCGTGACACTAGCAGCCTGGGGTGTGTTTAGGTGTATGGCTGCACCGTGAGAACGGGATCCAGCGGTGTGGGCAGCCGTGGGACCTGGCTGTGCCAGCCCCGGGAGCCTCCCACGCTGCCAAACTTTCTTTTCTTTTTTTTCAAGAGAAATTGTTTCATTTTGGCTGGATCTGAAAAGATCTGAATAAAGCCGGCTGTGTTTTCAATCCTGCCGCGTGTGATCTCTGCCCAATGGCGAGGATATGGCAGAGCTGCGTCCTGTCTGCGTTTCTCTGGACTCCCCACTGCACTCCACGTGGGAGCAGAGTGAATGTGAACTGAGGGGGGCTCTGAGCCATTGACGTTCCTCTTCCCGCTAGACCTGACAAAGGGGAAGTGCCTGGATGGCAGTGGGGCGTGCTGGGATCGGGGCCATGCTCAGGCTAGGGTACAGAGCATCACCAGTTCTTCCACCCCTCGGCAGAGTTCAGCGTCGTTCTGGAGAATCTGCTTGCCCGAGGCTGGTGGGCCAGTTCCCTCCTGGGGGCTGGGCTCTGCCCTCCTGCGGCCCCTTCCCCCCACAACAGCAGCCTTGCCTTCGGCAACTTCTACTGGCCACCATCCCTAGCCTTGCTTCCCCCTCCCAGCCCCCGCAGGAGCAGAATGATCCTTCCCAGCCCGTGCAGATTCCAGCCTGACAGGAACCTGCCTGAGAGCGCTCTGCGGGATGATTTACTCATCCTTTCAGGAGCCCCGATCACTCCCGTGACCTGTGCCCTCCTCCAGGTGCAGGAAGGGCTCTGGCGCCCGCTGTGCTCCAGAAGCTCTGCTGTGATAAATGGCTCCCTTTAATCTGCAGGGGAAGAGGAGTCAGGTTATCTCAGGGGAGCCCTGAAACAACCGACTCCTTTCATGTCCTCTGCTCATCCCCCGCCCCCACCTGGGCAGTGGCAGCTGCCTCTTGGGGTCACATCTTCTGCTTGACTTAGAACACAAGGGGGGGCTCATGCCTCTAGGACTTTCCCAGCCAGCCCCACCGCTGGCTCTAGCGGAAAGGCCTGTAACCAGCCGGGAGGAATGGCTAACGGGAGAGTGGTTCTCTCGGGTGGGCCATGGAAGGGCAGCCCCTTTGGTGTGGGCAGTTAAGAGGGAAACAGTACTCCGAGTGGAAAGAGGTGGAGAGCCAGGATGGTGGGTTGAAAGGAACCCCTCTTATAACTGAAAACTGGACAGTCCCAAGCCTGTTCTGTATCTTGGGTTATGAATTTGTTGGGCCTCAATTTGGTTCAGCGCAGCCCTGTTTATCCTAAACGTTGCCACACCTAGCTGCCAGGTTGGGAGGCCAAGCACTCAACAGTGCTGGCCATCCACGCTTCTGGCTTTGCACTGTGCTTCCTGCTCACAGCTCGGCATGTGACCCACAGTACGGGAGTCCTGCCAACTCCTAGGGCCACATGGCTCTATGCCTGTGGCACTGGGGCCTGGCACTGCGCCAGAGTCACAGCAATTAATCCGGGTATTGCTTAGGGTTACCATATCTCATAAATAAAAAAAGAGGCCCCTCCACAGGCCCTGGCCCCGCCCCTTTCCCCACCCCTAGCCCCGCCCCAACTCCGCCCCTTCTCCACCCTAACTCCGCCCCCTCCTCCCTCCCGCTCCCAGCCAGGGGGAAAGGGCTGCCCCAGCGCTACCGGCTTCAGGGTTTGCCGGGCAACCCCCAGACCCTGCGCCCCCGGCCGGCACTTCCCCAGCGCAGCTGGAGCCCGGGAGGGGATGCGCCCAGCCGGGGGCGCAGGGTCTGGGGGTTGCCCG